GGTAATCGAGAATGAGTTGGAGCAATGCAGACGATGGGGAGGTTCCCCACTCCCCCCCCACCTAGAGAATCTGGACCATTTAGCTAGGTACGTCCGTTGTATGGACGGCTTTCTACTTTCCAACAGAACTCATTTGACGTTCTCCGAACACCTCCCCTCCTCGGCATCTAACCATGGAGCAACCACGCTGTCAGGGCACAGTCCCCGCTCCGAGGACCACTCGACCCCTCGCTCGACGGCTGGGTGCCGATGCTGAGGTCACCGTCGACTGCACAGTACCATAGGAGCGGGGAGAGCGACAGTGTCCATGACGGTGCCGTCCACGTGACTGGGACCTCAACGACGAGGATCGGGACCCGTCCGAGTAGCTGCTCCTGTACTCGCCCCGGCGGCCGGAGCTACGACGCTTCGGTGCAGGTGAATCTCAAGAGGAGTTCCGAGTGCGATATCTTGTGGAGTGGGAACTCAAATCAGAGTGTTGACGACGGTGGCGTCTAGATCGGCTCCGGTAGCTGCGACGCGAGGAAGAGCGTCGGCACCGCTTATCCCGGTGCCTGTGTCCCCGGTCGCAGAGGAGGCCCGAGGCTCCCTCGCGGGCAGCGAGCCTGTCAGCCTGAGTGGAGTAGAGGGCTGGTGCGAGCTGTGGGAAGACTGCGTTGAGCGAGGTGTCGAGCGAGGGGTCGAGCGGTCCTCGGAGCGGGGACTCTGCCGCATCAGGGAGGGCTGTTGTGCTCCCAGTGGCGGCTTCCCTTGAGACTGGGGGCCTGTCTCAGGCGGCGCCCTGGGTACCGGGAGGGCTAAGATGTCACGCGTGGCCTGTGCAGCCTCCGGTGTCGACAGCATTCTCACCGCAGGGGAGGCATGCGCAGACGGGACTGGGCTGCTCCGCTCAATGCGAGTTGGAGGCCTGGGTCCCCAGGGGAATCGCGGGCTGCCCAGCTCGGGTCTGGCCTCATCCCTATCCTTCTCACGGCGTCGCTGAGTCTTCCCCTGCTTCTTGGAGGGGGAGTGGTGCCGGGGACTTCACTCTGTACCGAAGACGTGGTGCCGGGCACCGAGTCTGTTCGGCATGCCAGTGCCGGGGCCAGCGCTGATTCCATTAGGAGACACGAAGCCTAATGTCCCTCTCCTTCTTAATCCATGGCTTGAATGATCTACAGATCCTACAGCGTTCACTTACGTGGGTCTCGCCCAAGCAGCGGAGACACTGAATGTGCAGGTCGCTTCTTGGCATAGAACTGCGACAGGAGTCACACGACTTGAAATCTGGGGCATGGGGCATGCTCCGAGTCCAGATGACTAACTGGAGAAACTATTCAACTATTGGAAGAACTGTACTACTAAGGCTAACTAGAGACAGTGTCCCTTTAAGGTCATAATTGGCCACCAGGTGTCATTCTTGCTCTATGCAACCTTATTGGTAGGGCCCCACAGTCCATTCTGTTCAATTTCACGGTCACAGGATTTTAAAAATCATACATTACATGATTTCAGCTATTTAAATCTGAAATTTCACAGTGTTGTAATTGTAGGGGTCCTGATCCAAAAAGGAGTTGGGGGGGGGGGGAGAGTAAGGGGTGTCGCAAGGTTATTGTGGGGCGGGTTGCAGTGCTGCTACCCTTTCCACTGCGCTGCTGCTGGTGGCGGCACTGCCATCAGAGCTGGGTGGCCGGAGAGTGGCAGCTGCTGGCCGGGAGCCCAGCTCTGAAGGCAGAGCTACCATCAGCAGCAGCACAGAAGTAAGGATGGCATGGTATGGTACTGCCACCCTTACTTTTGCGCTGCTGCAGGCAGGGCGCTGCCTTCAGAACTGGGTGCCTGACCAACAGGCACTTCTCTCCGGCTGCCCAGCTCTGAAGGCAGCACAGAAGTAAGGACCCCCAGTTTGAGAAACACTGGTCTCCCCAGTGAAATCTGTATAGAATAGGGTAAAAGTACAAATAAGACCAGATTTCACAGTCCGTGATGCGTTTTTCATGCCTGTGAATTTGGTAGGGCCCTACTTACTGGAGAAGATGTTCCAGATCTACAGTGAATAATGCCCAAAGGCATGAGGCTGCAAGATGCTAAGTACCTGCTAAGAAGTGCTTGGAACCTTGCAGAAAATGACAAGCTAATTAAGAACTTTAGGCTGTCCAACATAATACATACTTTCAATTCATTATCCTCAGGATGTTCTAAGAAACATTATTCAAGTATCTTGAATCTTGTAAATATGACTGAATGTTTGACACACACTACTGCTAACAATAATTATAAAAGCAGACAAAAAAGGCCTGATGCAACATGGTACCTGGGCAGTAGCTTGATCACGTTGTGCTGTCATTCTATTCAATTCATCTCTAATTTTGTGCAAAACAGAATCTTTTTCTGTGAATTCCAGTTTTGTTTTCTCCATCTGGAGTTGAATTTCTTGAAGTTTGTTCATATGGAATTTCTTTTCTTTTTCTTGATCTTGTAGCTGATGCTCCAGTTTTTGAACTCTGGAGCTTAATTCTTAATTTAAAAGAAAAAGGATTAATATGATGCCTTCTACTTAAAAAGGTATTTACTGTACTAGTACTTTAAAGCAGCCTACACATTCTAATTAGACATATTCTGTGCGCTTGATAAGACTTCAGGCACCTATCAAATGCAAATAAAAAATAAAAACTATTTAAAAACTGCTTATCAGGTTAAATTTATAGCAATATAAAAAAATTTAAAATCTATTATCATATTAGGAAAATTGAAAGGCCTTTAAAAGTCTAGTTGGCACAATTGATGTTTATTTTTTGAGCTTGGATAGTGACTGTACATCAGTTTCACTTTGTTTTTTACTAGCTTCATTTTCTGATTCTTATGCACAATGTTGCAGTGTTTAGGCCACCAATTTTGCAGAGGCTCTTTGTTTTTAAGAACTACCTCCACTGGAATTTTCTAAAAAGTTATTGAAACATTTCTATTTGGTCTTAAGTTTTGAAAAAGCTGCTTCTTAAGAAAAGCTATTACAAACCTATTTTTTGGGCCAAATTTAACCAAATAGTGTTCATTTATCTTATTCAATACATGTCTCACTTTTTGCAAGGGGCCTTTAGTAAATACAATCTATGGTCTTTTTCACATCACTAAAATATTGCGTATCTACAAATAAAAACTGCTTTTGTCATGATACACGTGTGTGTGTTTGGGGAGGCTCAGAATCTTTTCCATACACTTCAATGGAATTTTGTACATGAAGAACAGTAGTCAGCAATTTCAGATTATTAGCATGTGAAATAAATTACCTCATCATTCTTTCATGAGGACCTGTTCCACTCTAGCTGCAAACAAACAGATGGCAAGCAATAGCAGTTGAGAATTTTCCTTTTTTTGGTCACTGACCCTTCTCCATGCCCCACCCTCCCAAAAAACCCTTCAGTCTTCTGAAACTTCAGAAAATCTAAAGACTAAAGATAGAATGACAGAGCACAAGACATGAAATGACCCTAAGTCACCTGTCACCTTATCTGCTGAAGATAAAGTTCATCCTATAGTGTTTATTAAATGTCTGCAAAGACTTCCAAGTGGATATCCTGCACAGCTGCACTGAGACTATGGCTACACTACAGTTTAAGTCGACATACGTTATGTTGTTCAGCAGTGTGAATTAGCCACCCACCTGAGCAACATAACTTGCACAGACTTAAGCGCCAGTGTGGACAGCACTATGTCAGCAGGAGCACTTCTCCCGCCGACATAGCTACCGCCGCTTGCGGGACCTGGAGTAATTAAGCCAACGGGAGACCTCTATCCCACCGGCTTAGAGTGGCTACACTACAGAGCTTACAGCAGCACAGCTGCACTGATGCAGCTGTAAGCTCTCTGTAGCAGGGTGGACACCTGCTCCTGCCTGGAAGGGCCTGAGATAGCCCGGGGAGCAGGCAGCGTGAAGGCTGAGCTGATTGGGGGAAGTGGCTGCAGCTGGGGCCACGCCCCAAACAGCCTCAGCAGGCCTATAAAAGAGGCTGGGAGCCAGGAGCTCAGTAGAGTCCCTCTCTGCCTTCAGAGAGAGAAGGCCCTGGCTGCAGGGAGCTAGACAGGGTACCTGTAGTGGAGCAGGGCGGGGGAAAGGCTGAGGAGCTGGGGAGCTCCAGCCTGGATAGCCCCAGGCTGCGGCCTGGTATTAGGCCAAGGGGTACTGGGGGATGCAGAGGGCAGCCCAGGGCTAGGCCAAGGCTGCAGGTCCAAACCCCCCTTGCCAGTGATGAGTGGCTGATACTGCAGTCTGCCCCAGAGAGTGGGGGCTAGTTGGTGACTGGCAGTGGCCTTATCCTGAGGTGAGGTGGGATTAGTGGGTGGGGGTTCCCCTGGGAGGGGAGACCCAGCGTGTGTGGGTATTGCCAGGGGGCAGCACCCAGAGCAAGGGGCACCGGGGTCCTGGGAGGGACACGGGGCCAGTGCAGAGGACAAGGCGGATCACCACCCTGCAGAGGGCGCTCCAGAGGCTGGTGAGCTAATTCCCTGGATGACCAGCAGGAGGCACCGCAGGGGTGAGTCCGCTCCTCTACACTCTCTAATGGAGCCGGAGCTGGAGAGAAAGAAAGGGGGGGGGGAGACTTGTCAGTTGAAGAAGTTCCATTCTACTATGGTTTTAGTTTAATCAGGCAAGGATCTCTATGAAAAATGACTTCTTGATAGAACAGATTACTCTACAGAAATCTTCCTGAGGTCTACAGAAATCTTCCTGAATTACATTCAAGAACACAATAAAACAAGTCAATTTCTTAACTCAGTTAATTTTTTCATACTGGAAAAACTTTATAAATCAATAAAATAATTAATAAACATGTATATGGTGTGTTTTACCCAGAGATCTCAAAAAGTCTTACAAGTTGAGTAGGTATTTTACCCCGATTTTATACATAAAACAGTCTTCAGTGAAGTCCTTAAACACAGGTTTTAATTATCTTTAAAAAAAAAGACCTTCTTATTTATAAAATAGATATAAAGTCATAACTACACTTGCAAGATACCTTGGCTCTGTGTTTTTAACTGCTCGATGACAGAAGAATTACCACAATTGTCAGAAAAACTGTTGCTGAAATCTGTCTTCTTTGATCTTAAGCCACGGTGGCTAGGAGTTGCTTCTTGTTCCCATGGAAAATGGGATGAAGTAAAACCCCTCTTTAAAGGGGTTTCTTGACTGCTGGATGAAGGACAGCTTGGTGTCTTTTCTTGTTGCCACGAGAACACTGATGAAGAAGCCTGATGCCGAGCAATCTCTCTGTGACTCTTAGTACTTTGAGGATGAGAACGATTTATTTTCTATTTAAAAAGAGGGGGGGAAAGCATATCTACCTTTACACAGCTGACAATTTATAAGAGAATTCATTCACTACTGTATGGTGGAAATAAGGTAGGGCAATAGGTCAAGCTGTCAGTGACAATTTTTGATAACAGAATCAGCAACACACATCATTCATCAGCGCAAAGGACTATACGATTCACACCACTCTGCTTTTACACCCCCAACAGTCAACTGACCGGAATACTTTGCCGATTAACATCACAGGCAGCTGAATAGGGTTCAGTTCAAATATATCTAAGCTGGCCAGCATCTCAATGACAAGAAGTTTGACTTGTGGTTCCTTAGATTTAGTATATGAAGTTTTTTGTTTTGTTTTTTAAGAGAGGCATCGTATCAATTAACATTGAGGTACCTTCCCACCACATTCCTCATGATCAGATCAATTTTGTAGAGCTAGCTCTTGACATGCACAACATTCATTTATGTACTTAGTTCTAGACTTACTGTAAATTAGATCTGATCCTCATTTGTGTTCTGTGGACAAATATAGCTACATTTTAGACTAAGGGCTTATAGCGGGGTGGTTGCCCCGCTCCCGCCTTAAAGGGCTTAGAACAGCGGGGGGGGGGGGGGGGGGGGAGCTGTGATTGGGGAAGCAGCCTCAGCTGGGGCCACGCCCCAAACAGAACACAGCTGGCCCTTATAAAAGGGCTGTGAGACAGGTGCTCTAAGACTCTCTCTCTCTGCCCTTAGAGGGAGAAGGACCTGGCTGCTTGGGCATGTACCTGGGTACCTAAGGTGGAGCAGGACTGGGGGAAACCAAGAGGCGCTGGGGTGCTCTGGCCTGGAAACCCCCCAGGCTGCCGGCCTAGTGCAAGGCCAAAAGGAACTGGGGTTGCAAAGGGCAGCCCATGGGTAGGCAGAGGCAGCAGGCCCAAACCCTCCTTGCCAGTGATGAGTGGCAATCATACTGCAGTCTGCCCCAGTGAATGGGGGCTAGATGGGGACTGGCAGTAGCCAAGACTGAGGCAAGGTGGAGATAGGGAAGTGGGGGTTCCCTGGGGCAGGGAGATCCACCAAGACTGTGGGGGTACTGCAAGGGGCAGAACCCCAGTGGAAAAGGGCACCGGGGTCTGGGTGAGACAGGGGCCTGCAGAGAGCTTGCCAAGGCTGTGAAAGAGCCAATTCCCAGGATGACAGCAGGAGGTGTTGTAGTGATGAGTCTTGACCCGTTATAGGGCTCTATTCATCTCCAAATGTGTGGTGATCCCATTAGCAACAATTCTACATGTAAATCATTCAACACACAAGAGAGATTCATTTATTTGCACTTATTTTTACAAAATACCTGGACTCAAAAAAATGTTTTGGTTCTAATATCAGATATTTTTCTTTCACTAGACAATCTCTGTGTCCCTAAACCTCTGACTGCCAGAAGCTGGGACTAGATAACAGGGGATGGGTCACTCAATAAATTGCCCTGTTCTGTTCATTCCCTCTGAAGCATCTGGCACCATCCAGAAGGATAATGGGCTAGATGGATCATTGGTCTGATCCAGTATGGCCGTTCTTACGTTCTAAAAATACAAGGAAGCTGGTATTGGTACTTACTGAACTTGGTTTTCCAATATATCTAACATTTGAATAGAGTTTGTGACTAAAGCACTAAGTGCCCCAATACTGCTCTCCGAAAGTTAACAAGAATTTAATCCCTGACTTCAGTGGGATTTTGTTTGTAGGTTTTCTATAGAAGTTTACTAAAAAAGGATTTAAGCATGCTGAACTAGTATATTCTTAAGGTGGTAAAACAGAACTATGCCCAACTTGAGTAGGTTAGGTTTTTTGTTTGTTTTGTTTTTAAAACAGAAAACATAAGAGGTCATTTTCAGACTTTAAATGCAAAAACATATGCATTCCCCGTAAATTCTATCCTTCTTTATAACTGTAGGTATTGAGAAATTCTCAGTCATGTGTGATTATTTACATGAAAACAATGTTTAAAAAGTCCTTTTTGTGTATTCTAATTAATACTAAATTTTTGGAAAATGCTGTCAGAAAATTAACCATACCCACTGCTTACTCTTTAATCTTTAATCTCAATGGCATGAACAAATTTAATTTTACCAGTTTCCCTGAAAAATCATATGGTTAATTTTGAAGAACTGCACCTTTCTCCATTTCACACATTAAATGAGATTACAATGCTGAAATACTATATACCCCATTTCAAATTTATACTTACTTTAACCTGGATATTTCTCAGTTCTGCCTCCAGCCTTTTTCTTTCTTCAACTTCTTTATTGTATTTTTCTTGGAGTTTTTCAAACTTAGAATATTCAAATTGACAATGAATATTTGCTAATAATCTGGCTCATTTCATACATAATATCTTTCCTATTCCATTTCTTATGCCTAATATTAGACAAGGGTGATAAAAGCAAAAGCCCTCATTAATCTCTAGTAATATACAAAAAACAACAACTCAAGGGGAGTTCTTCTAAAACCAATAAAACTGAATAGTTCAGGGACTGAAAACTGAGATCTGGAACTCAGTGCCACAATGAAAATGCAACCACTAAACTGAGGGACCAATACCAGGGGTACAAATGTATATTGTAATATCACCTGAATGAAGAATTTTTTCCCATCGTTCCCCTGGCATTAACATTTATTTGTAGCATGACTAAAGTATCAGGCATTGAGATTCAGATATTCAAAGAAGCTTAAAAAGAAAAATCAGTGGGAGTTGGACACCTAACTTCTTGATAATGAGAATCACCACACATTTGAAAATCTCAGCCTAAAGTCACATCTTGCTTCTCTCCACTTTAATTCCTACATAACTGTAGCAGCCACTTTCTCAAGCAACACCATAGCCAGAATGCTTTGCATCTTCCGAAAGCAACTGAAATCTCAGCTTTTAAAGGAGAACAAGAACTGATCTCCAACTCGTTAGGCAGGTTGCCAAATTGACGTTTTTAGCAATACCTTGTTTTAGTGTCCATGAAATTTTTCTGTTTTGTATTGTAGATTCTGAATTTCACAACCCTAAACTCAAACAAATTGTGTGATGGTACATTGTCACTGGTAAGCATTTTGAAATCTGAGAACTTACTACTAAATCCCTCAAGCCCCCGATTCACCAGCCAGCAAAACTGATTTTCAATTATTTTTAATGAAAACCTCACTTGAATATTTTATTTTAGAACATAATTAGTTAGGATGCACATATATTATGTCTATATTAGTGTCTGCATTTGTATCCTTCCCTGAAGCAAGACAAAGCATATTCTTGGTCTCACAAAGCATGCTCACTTAAATTCTTACACACTCACTCATGAGAATTAATTTTCAAATATTGGAAAATTATAGACATTAACAAATTATAAGCCAAACACATGGTCAGCTGTTTTCTTCATTCACCTTTTGTTTTCTTATGCTTCTGGAATGACCTGTACTTTCAAAGGAATTTACATTTTATTCAATTGCCAATTAGACAAGGGGGGAAAAATTACCATTGTGATTGAGATTTGGTGATAAAGGAGCAGTAAAATTCTTCTGTGGTGTACTACTGAATGATAAGTCTCCTGTAATCAATGTTTGCTGACTTCTCTCAAGTTCGGATTTGTACCTGTTTAAAAGAATTAGAAGTGCAAGGAATTAGTTACAGAAACAAATAGGGCCCAATCATACATTTTTAAGAGCCCCAAATGCACATTGAATGGCAATTTTGGTTGCTCAAGGAATATAAAATTAGGCATAATAAAGATATATCACTAAAAATATGATTCTAGATGACAATACGACACCTTCAAATAAATATTGGAATCTGTACTTTACTTCTAGTGGTATTTGGTGATTGTTTAAATTTTCTCTTATATGAAAGAATTGTTTTATATTATATATACACTCAAGGTTTAATATTTCAGAAGACTCAAAACTAAAAGAATTATACACAAAAAGGACACATGGATGAAAAGCAATTAAAATTTTTATATTTCAGAGTAGCAGCCATGTTAGTCTGTATCCGCAAAAAGAACAGGAGTGCTTGTGGCACCTTAGAGACTAACAAATTTATTTCAGCATAAGCTTTCGTGGGCTACAGCTCACTTCTTCGGATGCATAGAATGGAACACACAGACAGAAGATATTTATACATACAGAGAACATGAAAAGGTGGAAGTACCCATACCAACTGTAAGAGGCCAATCAATTGAGATGAGCTATCAGCAGCAGGAGAAAAAAACCTTAGAAGTGATAATCGAGATGACCCATAGAAGATGTGAGGAGAACTTAACATGGGGAAATAGATTCAATTAGTGTAATGACCCAACCATTCCCAGTCTCTGTTTAAACCTAAGTTAATTGTATCTAATTTGCATATTAATTCGAGTTCAGCAGTCTCTCTTTGGAGTCTGTTTTTGAAGTTTTTTGGTTGCAAAATTGTCACCCTCAAGTCTGTCACTGAGTGGTTAGAGAGGTTGAAGTGTTCTCCCACTGGTTTTTGAATGTTACAATTCCTGATGTCAGATTTGTGTCCATTTATTCTTTTGCGAAGAGACTGTCCGGTTTGGCCAATGTACATGGCAGAGGGGCATTGCTGGCACACGATGGCATATCACGTTGGTAGATGTGCAGGTGAACGAGCCCCTGATGGCGTGGCTGATGTGGTTAGGTCCTCTGATGGTGTCACTTGAATAGATATGTGGACAGAGCTGGCACTGGGCTTTGTTGCAAGGATAGGTTCCTGGGTTAGTGTTTATGTTGTATGGTGTGCAGTTGCTGGTGAGTATTTGCTTCAGGTTGGGAGGCTGTCTGTAAGCGAGGACTGGTCTGTCTCCCAAGATCTGTGAGAGTGAGGGATCATCTTTCAGGATAGGTTGTAGATCTTTGATGATGCGCTGGAGAGGTTTTAGTTGGGGGCTAAAGGTGATGGCTAGTGGCGTTCTGTTATTTTCTTTGTTGGGCCTGTCCTGTAGTAGGTGGCTTCTGGGTACTCTTCTGGCTCTGTCAATCTGTTTTTTCACTTCAGCAGGTGGGTATTGTAGTTTTAAGAGTGCTTGATAAGAGATCTTGTAGGTGTTTTATCTCTGTCTGAGGGATTGGAGCAAATGCGGTTGTATCTTAGAGCTTGGCTGTAGACAATGGATCGTGTGGTGTATCCTGGATGGAAGCTGGAGGCATGTAGGTAAGTATAGCAGTCAGTAGGTTTCCGGTATAGGGTGATGTTTATGTGACCATCGCTTATTAGCACAGTAGTGTCTAGGAAATGGACCACTCGTGTGGATTGGTCTAGGCTGAGGTTGATGGTGGGATGGAAATTGTTAAAATCATGGTGGAATTCCTCGAGGGCTCCTTTTCCATGGATCCAGATGATGAAGATGTCATCAATGTAGCGCAAGTAGAGTAGGGGCGTTAGGGGACGAGAGCTAAGGAAGCGTTGTTCTAAGTCAGCCATAAAGATGTTGGCATACTGTGGGGCCATGCGGGTACCCATAGCAGTGCCGCTGACTTGAAGGTATATATTGTCCCCAAATGTGAAATAGTTGTGGGTGAAGACAAAGTCACAAAATTCAGCCACCAGGTTAGCCGTGATATTATTGGGGATACTATTCCTGATGGCTTGTAGTCCATCTTTGTCTGGAAGGTTGGTGTAGAGGGATTCTATATCCATAGTGGCCAGGATGGTGTTTTCTGGAAGATCACCGATGGATTGTAGGTTCCTCAGTAAGTCAGTGGTGTCTCGAAGATAGCTGGGAGTACTGGTAGCGTAGGGCCTCAGGAGAGAGTCCACATAGCCAGACAATCCTGCTGTTAAGGTGCCAATGCTTGAGATGATGGGGCATCCAGGATTTTCAGGTTTATGGATCTTGGGTAGCAAATAGAATACACCTGGTCGGGGTTCTAGGCATGCGTCTGTACAGATCTGTTCCTGTGCTCTCTCAGGGAGTTTCTTGAGCAGATGGTGTAGTTTCTTTTGGTAATCATCAGTGGGATCAGAGGATAATGGCCTGTAGAATGTGGAGTTAGAGAGCTGCCTACTTCTAAGGTTTTTTTTCTCCTGCTGCTGATAGCTCATCTCAATTGATTGGCCTCTTACAGTTGGTATGGGTACTTCCACCTTTTCATGTTCTCTGTATGTATAAATATCTTCTGTCTGTGTGTTCCATTCTATGCATCTGAAGAAGTGAGCTGTAGCCCACGAAAGCTTATGCTGAAATAAATTTGTTAGTCTCTAAGGTGCCACAAGTATTCCTGTTCTTTTTAATGATATTAAGATGGGTCACAGTTGTAATAAAGCTCCCTCTGCTGGACATTTACAAGACTGCTGTGTTTAGGTCCCAATATGCTTGATTTGTGCTCTTAAACTTCCCTTGGCCTCAATAGGCTGCAGCAACTGCCTTTTCCCTTTGCTTCTCTGTTACACTTCCAGGGCACAGGCTCTCAGTTCCACTTGACAGAAATGGGACCACATGACCTAGCTGTCTTAGGCACTCAGGCCAGCACTGACCCTGCAGACTTAAACACACCCTATTCCCAGAGCTCCAACATTGTGGGCACTCTGGGTACACAGTTCACCTCTTCAGTGACATGTGGTAGTTCAGGGGTTCTCAAACTCGGGGTCGGGACCCCTCAGGGGGTCGTGAGGTTATTACAGGGGGGGTCTCGAGCTGTGAGCCTCCACCCCAAACCCCACTTTGCCTCCAGCATTTATAATGGTGTTAAATATATTAAGTGTTTTTAATATATTGGGGGGGGGTCACACTCAGAGGCTTGCTATGTGAAAGGGGGCACCAGTACAATAGTTTGAGAACCTCTGTGGTAGTTGAACACAGACTTTACAAAGGTTCCCCAAAACCACTCTCTGTTAGCAAGCACAATAAGTATACAGATCTGGACAAAAAAAATATAAAACCCTATACACAATACCCTACCTCAATTTCCTCACCACTCTTAGAGCATTCTTTGGACTGAGGTCAGAGTCCTCTAGTCCAGGATTCTTCCTCTCTCTCTGCCCTCGTGCACATGGTTTCTCCCCTGAATCATGGAGTATCTGTGGTCTTGTCTCTCCTTGCCCTCTTCCCCAGGGTTGTTTAGAGACCCTCTTTTATTACCTCCCCCACCCTTTGTCAGGTAACTCCCAATCGGCCTCATCAGCTAATTAAAGTACCTTACCATAGGTTCTGTTGCTTTGTTACCATCACTCCTAGAATTCAGATTTTGAACAACTAGTTTGGCCTGGATGGTAGCCCTTGCTTTGTCCCAGGGTGCTCCATTTAAATGATCATCAAAGTTTAACAGCCTGTCATTGTTAGCCCCATGCCCCCACCACTTGGAATTTTAGTCCAAGATGGAGGTAAAAAGACAGAGGCTAAAAGACCCCCATTCAAAATGGAGTTTGCAGTCTGACACAGGGTCCCCAATATCAAACAATTTGTAAACTGTACATAGGCAGATTCCCCAAATGTTCATAATTAAATTGTTTTATTAAGAGTCCATTTTATGAAGCTACTGCTGTATGTACAACAATCCCCCTAAGGGTCATATAACCTCAAAACTCTTTATTCTATTAATGAGAGTGATAAAGTTAGAGTGTTAGGTCAACATTTTCAAGCCTGTCTCAAAAAAGTTGCACTAGAAAGTTGCAGTGGTAAAAAATCTGTTGTCATGGTGACAGTACCAAAACTATTTTGGCAAAGTGCATTTTACACTCTGCCATTTCTGCTGGCATGATGTCTACATAGCATTGAGTTGTATTGGCAAAAACACGCTGCACTCTGGATAGGCATTCCAGTGCTATATTTCCAAAGACTCAGCATTCAAAGACTCAACTGAGGATAACTGGAAAATAAAAGCAGAGGCTAGTCTGTTATAGCTATTCATGGAACAACCACATTTGGTGGAGTGGGAGTTTTGAGCCAATTGAGTGGTGGGACAATCAGTGGTTCTAGAACTTTTAGACACAGAAGTTCATTCCTAGAGTTGCATGCTCAGCTCACCCCACTCCCCCAGTGTAGAAATAGCAAGGCGAGAGCTGCCCTTACAGTAGGGAAACAAGTGGTGATTGCCCTATGGAATCTTACAACACCAGTTTGCTATCAATTAGTGGGGTAATCAATTTGGTATTACCAAAAAAAAAAAAAATCAATGGTAAGGACACTCATCACTGAGGTATGCAAGACAATAAAGCATACTCTGCTGTACAGGGTAGTTAGGCTAGGCAATTGTGCAAAAAAAGAATAAACGGATTCAATAAGCTGGGTTTCCCTAAATGTGCTGGAGTTATAGGTGGGGAATATCCCCATTCTGTGCTCCCCCTGCCCAGCGTCTAAGCATATAAACAAAGAAACCTTCAAAATTTATGCAGGCCTTGGTAGATCACAAGGGAAATGTTACTGACAAACCCTGGCTGGTTCAGAGAAATTCAGGACACCCACAGTTTTAGAAACATTGTGTTTTATGACGTATTGAAAGCAGACTCCCCACTCCATTGAACTGGAATTAATGACATTTCTGTGCCAATCATAGTTTATGGAAACTGCCTACCCTTAATTCTCTGGCTCAAGAAACCATATACTAGCAAGCTGGACAAAAGCAAGGAAAATTTTGACTCTCACCTGTGCAGCTGAAGAAGGAATGTGAAGTGGGCACAGTTGGAAGACAACAGGATAGGTGGAGGGGCTTATGCTAAAGCTCCATTATCAACAAGTAAAACATTCTCAGTTCTTATGCAATGCACAGCATGCAGCATTCTCTGAGAGACCCTATTGCCAGGGTGGATGAGTGAGGTGGACGGGCTGGATCTAAAATAGGCTAGCTAACAGTTGCATTGCTAATGCAGTTCAGGTAAGGGAAGCTTTAAAAGCTTACCTCGACAGTAGGTAATAGCCTAACCCTGTTTCTATGAAACTATTAATAGAACTGGTGTGTTTTTTGTGATATACATGACTTTTAAGGAAGATTGACAATGTTTCTATGACCATCAGTATAGTACAGGTGGTGTATTTCTAGACTAAATAAAGGCACTTCTGTAATATACATGCATTGACTTTTTTTAGAAGTATGGAAGCCTTTCTGGTTGTATTATTTTCTAGCACTGCTATACCAAAAAGTCAGTCACACCAACTTTCAAGTATGTACTTTAACACCACGGCATGATAGACATACAAAAAGATAACTTATAAATGACTTTACTAGCTATATACCTTGACTAGGTACAAGTACACTATGCAGACTAGATGTCAGTGTATCACAGATGACTGTATGTGTAATCAAAGTTCTTCGTTCTCTGACGTGTTGTCCATGGAAGTAGAATACAGAGATAACTGACACAATGGGATGAGGTGTCTATATCCCTACCAACGTCCCATATTTATCCATGCTTTGGAGTGGGTGAACTAATGCAGCAAGATCCTTAATGCTCCCTGATCAACAATTCATTTGAGCATCTGGGTCAGCAGCATTTCCCCCCCCCCCATCTTTGTCCTCCCTCTACTCCTTCAGCAGCTGTTCACACCACTGCCTTATTGCCCTTGCATTTCACTTTTAGACCTGCATAACCTCAGAGCATGTCCTTCTCTGTGCACTTCCTCTTGGCTCTGACAGTGACCAGACAGCTGTGCAGGTGTTAGGGAGAATCTTGAGGAGAGTCCCACTATTGAGGTTAGTGATAAACACAGATCTGTTGGGTGGAGAGGAAGGGAGGCAGCCTTCCATGCCATAACTGTTGCAACTACGCAGATTTTCCCACCTTGTACAGCATAACTATGTGGATTGCCTCCAAATTACTAAGGCATAATGAGTGCTAGACCTTACATGGAGAGTAGATCAGGGTTTCTTATCCCAATGCCTTCGGGGCGGGCGGTGGTGGGTGTCATTCTGATATAGAAATAGGATAGTATTTAATAAAGACAACTGCACTTATTTCAGGAAGTCATACTCCTTGATGATCCCAAAATGGCAAAGAAAGAGCTGTTTAAGAGGCCTTAGTCTGCCCATGGAAGTATTCAGCCATGCTGCTTTCTGCAATAATCCCCCTCAGAGGTCCTGGCAAAGTGGCATGGGGATGTGCCATATCATGGTGGGCTGGCCAAAGCGTATCTTCAACATAATGTTTGGACAAGTCTTACATACTACTCACTGAAAAAAAAGTTCTGTGAAATTGTGCCCAGAAAGCTTTGTGTGTAAAAATTAAGAGGCTGCTCTGTTTGTACCTCAAAGCACTGCAAGACATCAACTGATGGCGTGCCCACTGACATGTGTTTACTTGCTTCCTTTCTTGGTCTCACCATACTGTTCCTTGAAATGTTTAAAATTCAACGTGTCTCACCTTTGTGCCAGGTGTATCTGATCCAAGTGGTATGTATACACTTGCAATTCAGGATGACTTTCCACACTGTATATACTGCCATCAGATCAGTAACATGGCAGTGCTATCTCAACTGAAAGGAAGTGTAGGTCGTGTTGTCTTGAATTTCTAAGCCTAGAGTGCAATACGTTTCAATTCATGGGTTATAGTGCCTTGCCAAGCTACATGGACTGCCTTAAAGTCCTATTAGAGCACCACTTGTATACATAGATTCTGTACGTACTTGTAATCCTAGGATATCAACGTCATGAAGCCAGTTGTCAATTCTGCCTCATTGACTTTGCTACAAACAATTCTGCCTCGTGCTGCTATTGATGCAGTTAGAACCTTTGCAGTAAAAAACCTGTTTTAAAGAAGTTTTCAGTACACTGGTCTGTCTTTTTGAGAGGAAGATTTCATAATGTGGGCACTAGATCTGGATTTGGGTACAGCTCCTGATAGAAACTAGGTGAATTTTTTCCGGAGGGTCTGGCTGGAGAATCTTGCCCGCATGCTTGGGGTTCAGCTGATCGTCATATTTGGGGTCGGGAAGGAATTTTCCTCCAGGGTAGATTGGCAGAGGCCCTGGAGGTTTTTCGCCTTCCTCCGCAGCATGGGGCAGGGGTCGCTTGCTGGAGGATTCTCTGCGACTTGAAGTCTTTAAATCACGATTTGGGGACCTCAACAGCTGAGTCAAGGGAGAGAATTATTCCAGGCGTGGGTGGGTCAGCTTTTGTGGCCTGCATCATGCGGGAGGTCAGACTAGATGATCATAATGGTCCCTTCTGACCTTAAAGTCTATGAGGGTCAATGGAAAAGAAATATGGAAATATGGAGTGGCAGTTCAATTTGGGAGGGTTGAGAATGTAAAAACCTGCACCAGAGTGTTTCTTACAGGTGACTGACAAAGTGGGGAATGTGGAGTAATGGCTGACTGTTCGCAGCCATAGTGGGGGGGGGGTATGCAGAGGATACATAGTGCGTCCATATTTAGGCACTTACATAAAAGGCCTTATCTTGAGAGGCAAAAGGTATATATATATATTTTTTTTCAATCCTGTTAAGCTAACAGGTTTGAAACAACTTTTTTGCCCAACAAAGGAAAGGCCAAACATTCAAATGTGCTGAGTACCTATGAATTCCACTGGGCTTAGTGGGAGTTCCAGGTGTGCATTACGTCAGATAATCAAACCACTTTATTTAGACGCCTAAACATGGGACTTAGGAACTTTGTTTTAGGCACCCAGGTTTGAAAATTTTGGCCACAAACTCAAACTTCTATTTAAATATGGAGTACAGTTAAATTAAAGTAAGAAAGTGGACAAAGACAGTAATTTGACAGTCATTTACATGTCTAAGCAAAATAATATTTAAATGAGATAACAGGCACACTTAAGTTAAAGCAGAACAGTATGGTCTCACCTTTTAAGTTCCTGTTTTAGTCTTTCAACTTGTTTCTTGCTTGAAGTTAGTTGTCCCACTTGATAATTAACTTGTGATTCTTTTACTTGATCATGTGAAATTTTCTGCTTTGTTTTCTCATTATCACACAATTCCATCAAACGCTGTTTTTTTGTTTTTAGCGTTGCACCTTCATTTTCAACCTAATTTGATTGGTCAATTATCAAAAAAAAAACCACCTTATTTATAGATTTTGATCAAGCCTGGGAATAAACATCTTTATTCAGAGTGAAGCGTGGAGAGCACTTACAAAAGAAAATTTCTGCTTTATAAAAAAAAAGTGGTATTTGAATATTTTTATTCACTACATTTCAAAGGCCAAACAGCACTGAAAATTTCAGTTACACACAAAACTATTTTGCTATTCTACCAATGTCCGTATCACATTTTTGAAAAGACGGCTTCCCTGTGTAACATTTAAAACCAAAATACATATTCACCACAATTCATCTAATTTCTCTAATCGGTGGCCCCACACCTGTTCTTGGAAGAGTTTATTGGCTATAAAAAGCACCTATCCAGACCAGTAAAGTGCTTACAGCCCTTGCACATGATCAGAAGAGCTAAACTTAAAAGTCATATGACTCAGATCATCATCTTGCTCCTCTCCCTTCAAATCGGTCAATGTTAGCAACCAGTATTTCCTGAATGACTAGAGTTAGAGATCAATGCTCAAGTTGCGTTTCCTCAAGATAGCAGCTGGAACAGCCATGTCTGATTTGAAGGAGGGATGCAAGATAGTAATCAGAATAATGCAAGTTCAAGATCCTCTCTCTCATGATCTGTGTTGTGTTATGTAGCATTGGAAAAAATATTTGATATTCCCAGCCTTTGCAAGGTATACTGCATACACTCCTATCCCTGACAGTTTGAGATACTGGACTTAGAATGGTCCCCAAAAAGCACTACCAGAGCAAGAGGCCAGTGACAGTTTAAGACTGAATACACAGCAAGGCCTGGATAGTGGGCTAGTGTAATTTTCATTCACTACCTTACACAGGTGTCAATCACTGCTCACAGAGTGAGTATTAGAACAAAAAACTGCTAGTAGGTAGTCTACATTTTACTGGTATGGCAATATTTGATGGCAGCAATGACGTTATGCAGATATTAATCTGATCAGCTATAAACCTAGGTGTTATGGCTTTTTTGTGACTAAAGCCCTGATTAAATTGTAGGTTCTTTACCTAAGAGTTAGTCCTTTTAGCTCAAGCGATAGCAATCTGTGCTACAATGATGAATGTTTGGGGTTCAAACTATGCTGACGATGCATAAGTGGGAGATTATAGTTGTACATAATATTTTTAAATCTTCAAGTCAAGATTGGATGTTTCTCTAAAAGATCTGCACTAGGAATTATTTCTAGGGGGTTCTGTGATTTTTGTTGTATAAAAGATAAGAATGGATGGTCACTTCTGGACTAAGAACCAATGAAAATAAAAGCAGCAATTTTAATAGGCCATTGCAACAGAACGTACTCCAGTATTTTAAAACCACCACACTCATATAGACAAGTTGGTGTAAATTCTGAATGAGTCTTTTGCTGGGTACAAAAAAGTTGAGCTCATCGTTCACAAAATACTAGATATGAGAAACTGGGTGGAAATTATCAGCATGACAATTTTGGTATGTTTATAAAAATTATATTTTATATGAAGTGACGAGTGTTCAGATATCCATTTGTAGAAATAATTTGTTTTACAAAGCACCCTGTAAAATCAATTTATCAAAACAATTTCCATAAAGGTATTTTTAATTTTTACTTCCCCCCCAGTGTGCCTCATAAGATTAACGTTTGCACAGCATTCTAGACGCATTGTATAAGTGACTGTTTGCTATTACCGTAGCACCTAGGAACCCCCGTCATAGACCAGCGCCCCACTGTTCGGGTCCCTGCCACAGGTCCGGGGGACTCTGCTGCCAGGCTGGGGTCCCAGCCGTCAGCCCGGGGCTCTGCAGCCGCCCCCAGCTGTGGCCCACTGGCCCCAGCCTGGGGCAGTAAGGGGTGCAGACAGGGCAAGAGTGGGCACAGCTCAGCACCTCCACCTTAAAAAATATCCCAGCACAGTGGCACTGGAACAATTTAAGTCCTGATTTGCTGCTTACATCACTATCACGCCACGTGGAACAGCGCGCTGCATTTGATGTTGAGATTAGAATGTACGTGCAAGAACAGGAATCAGAATTTTCAGACAGATTTCAAGATTTCCAGCGATTTGACCCAATGCTTTCTTTTCTAATTAAACCTGAAAAGTTCAACAAAAGTGACTTGGATTTGTCTGTATTTCACTGGATGGGTGTTGAAGATTTTGACATGCAGCTCATTCAGTTAAAAAGCTCAGAATTGTGGGCATCGAAGTTTGGAGATCTGCGGAGTGCACTTGAAGCTACCGAGAGAGATCATAGGGCCTCTATTCTGACCTGCTGGACGTCCCTGCCAGTGAAATTTAACTGTTTGAAGAAAATTGCGATTGCAATGCTTTCAGCATTTGGATCCACATACCTGTGTGAACAGGTATTTTCACACAAGAAGTCTGTCCTCTGTCCCTCTCGGAGCCTGCTAACAACTAATCACTCAGAAGCCAGTGTGCAGCTTAAAGTATCCAAATACATGCCAGATATTGGGAAAACTCAGCAAGGAAAAGCAAGGGCAAGGATCACACTAAACTGATAAGATCTGCATTTTAATTTAATTTTAAATTAAGCTTCTTAAACATTTTAAAAACCTTATTTACTTTACATACCACAATAGTTTAGTTATATATTAGACTTATAGAAAGAGACCTTCTAAAAACGTTAAAATGTATTACTGGCACACGAAACCTTAAATTAGAGTGAATAAATGAAGACTCAGCACACCACTTCTGAAAGGTTGCCGACCCCTGGCCTAACTGTTAAGTTTTTTGTAGGCATCACAGTAAAGGAGAGTTGTAAGGAGGGCTTTAAAAGAAGATGAGGGGACTTTGCGGATGGTTATGGGGATTTCCTCCCAAGCAGAAGTTGACAGTCAGCATGGGAGAAAGCACAAAGATGCTTGTTGAAAAATTTAACAAATGGATGTGTTATGGGCCGATCGGAGGCAGGAGTTGACATTTCAACAGTGAATGAAAAAAAAGGATACCTAGGATGGGGTAGGCCATGAAGGAGCTAGGAAGTGAAGACAAGCAGCTTGTT